CCATAGGCTGCCAAGAGGACCCAACCTTCTTCTTCCACACCAGCATGAGCTAAATTCTCCCTGGAGTAAAAAGAAACTGTAGCCCCCATCTCAACTCTTTATCTTTTGTGCAAAAAAAATGTTCATGGCACCTTTATTTATAAAAACTAAAACTGGAAACAACCCAAGTGTCCATGAACAGAACATCCATGCTCCATTCGTCCTGGAGAATAAACTGTGGTACATCTCTTCTCTTTAGCTAGCATTTCCATCTCCATTCTCCACTGGACCTCAAAAAAGGGTAGCTGAGGCACTAAAGCCTTCTTACTTTATTTGTACCTTGTGGGTTGGTATTTCTGAGGAAAGGCATACTCATATAAGGAAAGAAAAAGAATCGGCTGCTAACTTCCACCTCTGTTACTAGAAAATGAATTATCTATCAGAGTAATATGCCTAAACTTGCCTAAGCCATATGAGTATTGGTAAAACCTAAAACTAAGAGCCACATGTTTGGAGCTTGCAGTTTTATTTTAATCGACAAAAGATGATTTCCATTAAGAGAGTCTCTCAGAAGCTTCCTGGATTTGTTATGAGTTGTAAGGGCCAATGAGAAAAACATTCGAGTCAGTATTTCCAGGAATCACAAAACTGTTCACACAGTGATGTAAGGAATTTGACAAGTGAATGTACAGCATGTGCCATGTTATTTTTATTTTTAGAGCATGCTGAGAAGTTGTTAAACCCTCAAATAGGCATCAGACATATTCCCAAGCACTCATTTGCTGGGAATAAATTCATAGGTTTAACTCATTTGTGCTGTTTTAAGGATCCAGGACATATTCTAAAGAACAAGAGAATGAATCTTAAATACAAAATAGAAATTTCCCTAGAAATTATTTTTTTCATGTACTATTCCTCATGTGTATTTCATCCACAATTTGCTAAGTAAACTGCTCATTGTTCAAGCCAGTAAAGGTAAAGTCATCAGAGGTCTACTCTGGAGTCAGACAGACCTAGATTCAAATCCCAAGTCCATCTATTTCTATATGTGTCCTTGAATAATGTTCTCAACTTTCCTGGTTCATAAAATAGGAAGTTACTTTTTTCTCTAGGGGATACACAAGTACACATTATATGTAAGTGTGTGTATATTTGTGAGCGTGTGTGTGTGTAATTTCTTTGGGTGTTGTATTAGTCACAGTTCTCCAGAGAAACAGAACCAAGAAGGTGGATGGATGAAAGCATAAACAGATGGATAGACGGACGAATGGACAGCCAGACGAACGGACAGACAGACAGATAATCAGTAATTTGCTCATGCAATTTTGGAGTCTCAGTCCCAAGGTCTGCAGTCAGGAAGCTGGAGACCCAGCAAAGCCAATGTATAGTTCCAACCTGAGTCCCAAGTTCTGAGCACCAGGAGAGCCAGGTTCTCTCCGGGAGAGCCAACGTTCAGTGTGAAAGCAGCAAGCTTGAGACCCAAGAAGAGCCAATGTTGCAGTCTGAATCTAAAGGCCAGAAAAGACCAATGTCCTAGCTCAAAGCAGTCAGGGAGGAGTAGTTCCCTCATATTTGAGGAAGAGTTAGCCTTTTTGTTCTACTCAAGCCTTAACTGATTGGATGAGGCCTATCCACATTAAGAAGGGCAATCTGCTTACCCAGTCTGCCAAGTTAAATGTTAATTTCATCCAAAAGCACAGACACCCAAAATGTTTGACCAAACATCTGGACACCCCATCACCCAGTCAAGTTGACAACAAACCTACCTTCAAATATTAGCTATAATCTATCTCTATCAAAAAATAATCTAAGAATTATAAATGCCCAAAAGACTTGTGTCCGTTTGCAAGACAATAGTGTACTACTCTATGTATTTATTTATTTATTTTTGAGAGGGAGTCTCACTCTGTTGCCCAGGTTGGAGTGTAGTGCACAACTTTGGCTCACTGCAACCTCTGCCTCCCAGGTTCAAGCTATTCTCCTGCCTCAGCCTCCCCAGTAGCTAGGATTACAGGCATGCCCCACCACCCCTGGTTAATTTTTGTATTTTTAGTAGAGACGGGGTTTCATCATGATGGCCAGGCTGTTTTCGAACTCCCAACCTCAAGTGATCTGCCCACCTCAGCCTCCCAAAGTGCTGGGATTACAGGCATGAGCCACCACAACCAGCCATACTTATTTTTAAACACAGCATCTTTTCCCAGCCTTCTTTACCTATATACAGTTTCAGTAACATGTAACATGTCCTTTATTTACTCAGCATTATTTCCTTGCTCTGGATGAGAAGAGAATAATTAGGAAACTTCTGGAAAGTTAGCTGCTCTATTAATTGTTTACAGATTCCATAATGATAACTTATGGCACGTATGGGCACTGGCACTCAGATAATTAGACATTTTAACAACAATGTTTTACTTTTAATGACTCCAGAAGATTTTGCATTAGTCTAGACTCTTCTGGGAAAGGTATTATCATAGAATTAATAGCCGATGCAACTTCAACAGCTTTTTTAAAAAACTAAGAGTGAAATATTCATCTCTGTTGTCACCAAATCCAAGAAATTCACAGATCAGATATACTATCCAGCAGCCTGCTTCAATTTCTCTTTATAATACTGAATATATTTATTTCTTGAACAGAAATCAAAGTGGTAATGTACCTTTCACTCTAGCTGTGGAATCAAAGGAATCCAAATTTACAGACTACAGACTGACTTTACATTTTAAAAAGCAGTAAAGGAATAATCGGTAATTTCCACTGCATTCTAAAGAAATGGAAATCAGAAATTCAAAACACTTAAACATCAAACTAATGATTGTTTTAGAGAAATCCCTCCAAGAAAAGCTAACTTTCCAGCTTTTCTTCTGCCAGATCATATCGTAATGTTCTTCATAATTCATGAAAGATAATTTTTCTATACATTTAACACTTCTGCTGCTTTTATTTTCCTGCTATTGAAGTATCAATAATAAAGCCTGTGTAGGCCCACTGGAGACATGAATAATAACCCAAAATCCTCTTAAAAATCTAGACACAGTCACAGCATCGTCACTTTCTATTGAATAGGAATTTATTCTTATGAAGGCTTCTGACAAGCGTTTTTACCCTTTGTACCTAAGATTTTATTTGATCCATATGATTTAAGCAGATAAAATAGATGAGTAAAATGATTTCATTTTTTCTAAAGATAGGGTCAACAGTTCAGAGTTGCTTTTTTCCTCTTGCAATTCTGTCATACTCACTTTAGTGTCAGCATGGAAAAGTAATTTGAAAAATATGTTCCTATATCTTTCAGTCCAGTTCTCCTCTGTGTTTCAGAAAAGAATGGTGTACACACCATGGCACAAGTGAGAGGACGAGCTTTCTTGCTATAGCTCCCCTCCTGTCCTCACATATATCTTCACAGGATTCGGGGGGCAAGTGGGGAGGGAGGTTAAATTTTAAAACTCTAAGGTTTTCAATAGTTTTCTTTAAAACATGTAATTTGGCCAGGTGCAGTGGCTCCTGCCTGTAATACCAGCACTTTGGGAGGCTGAGGTGGGTGGATCACCTGAGGTCACGAGCTCCAGACCAACCTGGCCAATATGGTGAAACCCCCTCTCTACTAAAAATACAAAAATTAGCTGGGTGTTTTGGCAGGCGCTACTTAGGAGGCTGAGGCAGGAGAATCACTTGAACCCAGGAGGCAGAGGTTGCAGTGAGCGGAGATCACACCATTGCACTCCAGCCTGGGCGACAGGAGTGAAACTCCGTCTCAAAAAAATAGAAATAAATACAAACATACATACATAAATCAGGTAATTTTCTTCAAATCTGCTTAGAAATTAAGAAGAAAAGTCAGAAACATTGCATCTCTAAAGGATTTCTTTATTCCTTCATCTGCCTCTATTAACCAAGGAAAATTTGAAAGATAGGGAGAGGGAGAGAAAGTGATACAGGAGCTAGAAAGAAATTTTTAAGGCAGATAGCGAGGGAAAGAGTCCTTGGCAAGGTTTCCCTTTTAATGCACAGCAACCCCCAAATCATTTCTTTTCTAACAAAGAGCAGCCTGAAAAATCAAGCTGCAAATGTAGGAAAGCCAAGCTAGAAGCTTGCACGGGTGAATGCTGGCAGCTGTGCCAATAGGAAAAGGCTACATGGGAGCCAGGCGTATTCAACATGGAGGCGCCACCTTCCCTTTTCTTTGTCAACCAAGTGTGCAGTAAAGAAGCAGGCAACATGGCATCGGCCAGGTAGGGAACCCATTTATATAGTAAAAGATTAGGGTGGGGCAGCCAGCTTCTTCGTGTGCTATGCAAACAGCACACCTGGTCCGACCAATATCTCACACCCAATGTAAATCAGATATTGCATCTTCAAGCTCGTCTATAAAACCCCGTGCATTTCACCACAAAACTGGAAGACCCACTCGGGAGCCCACCTCTCTCTGCAGGAGAAAGAGCTTTTCTCTTTTCTCTTTCAACTATTAAGCCTCTACTCTTAAACTCACTCCTTGTGTTTGTCGGCATCCTCGATTTCCTTGGCATTAGGCAATGAACCTCGTTTAATCCCACACAAACGATGCCATTTCAAAAGGACAAACAAAGGTTCTTTTCTTCAGGGTCATGGCACAAAAGATAGAGCCCCACTACCACCCCTCCTCACTCACACCCTAAGAGGCTCTGCCAGGTGCCCACAGGCAGAGAGCATGTAGGAGGCGTGCCCACTCAGCCCCCAAAGTGGAGGGGTCACAGCAGCTGCTCTGCTTGAGGCAGTTCGCTGACTGCTTTCATCCCCGCTGTGGCCGCAGTTGGACTCCATTCCAGCCCCATGGGAATGTTTTGCTTCAGAGACTTCTCATCTGCGTTGCCTTGCCTGAAATACTCCTCCCTCAGATTACTCAGCTCCTCCGAGTCTTTGCTTAAATATCACAATCTTGTTGATTTAGGCCTCCTCTGAGCCCCCTATTTCAAAATGTCAGTCCCTTACCCTATTTCCTCCTTGTCTCTCTTTCCTACTTTATTTTTCTCCATAGCACTTACAGTCATCTGCCGTGGATGTCTTCCAGTCCCAGCCCCATATTCACTTGCCACCTTCTCAGCCCTGCCACGCACGCCAGGAGGCTGACCAGATGGTCTCCATCAACCAACTCTGCTGTCCTTCGGCGTCCTGTCGGGTTTGACCAATAAAAGGCAGCAGAAGATCCAAGGAGAGAAGAGAAAGAGGTTGGGAGTTTATTCTCCCAGCTCTGCTCCTGCCAAGTCCCCATGTGTTAGCTGCCTCCCACATGTTTTTTTTTTTTTGTTTTGTTTTTTGTTTTTTAGATGGAGTCTCGCTCTGTCGCCCAGTCTGGAGGCAGTGGCGTGATCTTGGCTCACTGCAACCTCTGCCTTCCGGGTTCAAGTGATTCTCCTGCCTCAGCCTCCTGAGTAGCTGGGATTACAGGCACGTGCCACCACGCCCAGCTAATTTTGTGTGTGTGTGTGTGTGTGTGTGTGTGTGTGTGTGTGTGTGTGTGTGTGTGTTTGCTTTTCTGTTTTTTTGTTTTTTGTGGTTTTTTTTTTTTTTTTTTTTTTTTTTTAGCAGAGATGGGGTTTCACCATGTTGGCCAGGCTGGTCTTGAAATCCTGACCTCAGGTGATCCACCTGCCTTGCACTCCCAAAGTTCTGGGATTACAGGTGTGAACCACCATGGCCAGCTGGTTGCCTCCCTTTTGTGAGGACCACAATCCCTATCAAGTAGCTCTCTCCCTTCAGCTCCCCTCTCTAAGTGACTGCTCCCTCTCCTTACTTTCAGGTGTCAGGTGTTAAGAGCTTCTCCCTGTTACTAGCTCCAGGGCATAGCATATCCCTTGTGCTTTAAGCACTGTTTCATTAATTACTAACCTTTATTAAGCTCTTTATTAAGTTATCTATTAACTACATTAAGTTAATTAGACTTTTCTCACAATGCCCATTTTGACAATGACCTTTACTTTCCAAACTGCTGCATCAACTGGCATCTTACATATTTTACTTAATTCCTTGTTTTTCTCCCTCCACTAAAACATAGGCTTCATGAAGTCAAGATTTGTCCCTTTTGCATACTACTGTATTCCCAGCACCTACAAGAGAACAGGCAACATAATAGGAGGTGCGAAAGAAGCACTGGATAAATGCCTGAATCATGAGTGAACGTATGACTTAGGAAGGGACATAGAAAGTCGAACTCCCCATCTCTGTATGCTGGATCTCTGCCTTTTCAGATGGTGTCTTCCGTTTCTCTCCTTCCTGTTTTTTACTCTTTTAATTTTTATTTTTTGTAGGTACATAGGTGTACATATGTATGGGGTACATGAGATATTTTGACAGAGGCATGCAATGGGCAATAATCACATCAGGGGAAATGGAATACCCATCCCCTGAAGCCTTTATCCTTTGTGTTACAATCCAGTTTTACTCTTTTATTTTTAAATGTACAATAAATTATTATTGACTATAGTCACCCTGTTGTGCTATCGAATGCTAGATCTTATTCTAATAATATTTTGTACCCTTTTTCAAAATTTTGGTTAGTGTGGGTAACAAATATTTTTCTGGGCATTATTTCAGCTTCCAGTCTATACTTAACATTTTTATATAACATCATCTGGCAACATTTTAGAGAATTCACATAAATAAACCCATGTAATTATAATCTGGCATCATTTTCTACTTCAAAATGTTCATAAATAGCATTGCTGAGCCAGAGGTAGAATCATTTTAAAACAAAACAAAAAAAAAGAGCAGTCCAACAAGTGAAAAATCACCACCAAACCTAACTTCACGGACAATAGCAAGCAACCCTGAAGTGTAGGTTCCAATACTGTATTTAGAAATATTAGCTAGAATATAAAGCTCATGAGAAAAGGCTTTGTCTGTTTTGTCTGCTGATGCGGTCCAAGCACTAAGAGCAATATCTAGTATATATCTGGTACTCAATAAGTGTTGAATTCATGAATGAATGATCTCATGTCACCCTGTACTAAGGAAATATTTTGAAATGACAATAGATTAGATAACTGTTTCCAACTCCTTGCTCCCTATTTGGTTTTTGGGTTTTTTTTTTTCTTTTGTTTGGTTTTTGTTTGAGACAGAGTCTCGCTCCGTCATCCAAGCTGAAGTTCAGTGGCACAATCTCGGCTCACTGCAACCTCTGCCTCCCAGGCTCAAGCAAGTCTCCTGCCTCAGCCTCCTGAGTAGCTGAGATTATAGGCATGTACCACCGCGCCCAGCTAATTTTTGCATTTTTAGTAGAGATGAGGTTTCACCATGTTGATCAGGCTGGTCTTGAACTCCTGACCTCAAGTGATCCACCTGCCTCAGTTTCCCAATGTGCTGGAATTTCAGGTGTGAGCCACCATGCCCGGCCCCTCTTTGTAATAGAATATCCCACCCCCACTCTTTCTCAGGTGGTCACTATGAAAGGAGTATTCCTCCTCACTTCATTGATTTTTGGGAGTTGGCCATGTGACATTATGCCAACAGGATGTGAGCAGAAGTAGCAATGTACTGATTCTGTGCAAAAGCTTTAAGCACAATTGCTTGATTCATCACAGCTTGCTGTTCCCATCTTCTGCCATGATAGAACAGCATGTGCAGCGAAAGGTGGCTCTTTCAACCAAGTCCCAAACTAAGAAGACACACAGAGCCAGCTCTCAGTCATCTGCAGCCTGGAGCCACAAGTATTGTGAAAATAAATACATTTAGCTTGCTTTTATGCATCATTACTACAGCAAAAACTGACTCAAAAACTGGTACCTAGCAATGAGGTGTTGATGGAACAAAAACCATGTAGGTAGGGGAGGGGGCAAGGAAACTGTTACAGAAAACAGCAAAATGGCAACTCATATTATGTCATGACAAAACATTTGGTAAAATGACCATATATAGAATTTTCTTGCCTGGTATAACCTTTTGTGGTAAGGCTGTTAGGCTATTGCTGCCATTTTTATACGAGTGAGCCCTTTGTGACATCATTTTAGGGCAACTTGATTTTCTGTCTCTGGCAGTACTATCTCACGAGTATATGCAAAATAGTGATACTATAGTATGTTGTTTAGGAACTAGTCTTTCATTTGCATTGGAAGTAGAGAGATGATAATCTTCCATCCCATGAAGCCATTTTTAATCCTCACAAAATTCATTGTTGTACCATATCCTAGAAGCAATTCAGTGTAACAGGTATTTCCATGGATTTGAAGATACTGAACATATAATTGTCTCTTTAAATTCTCTTTCAGAGTATGTAGTGAATTTTGAGGCATTTACTTTTGATTTCTGCCAGATGGTAATGTTTCAGAATATAGCACTAAGGAGCTTGTTAGAACAGCAATATTAGTAAATACAAGACCACAACGGCCTCGTATGCCAGCTTTGTCATGCAGTCTCTTATGGAATTGTCAACATTTTGTCTGCTTCCTTGATTTTCTATCTTCAGCATAAGCTTATTTGAAGATAGAGAAGCTGCCAAGTCACAATTATTTTCCACCGCATGTGATGAGATTTTCTTAATCTAATTTTTTCAATGAAATATGACACTGTATGAAGGATTTGTTTCAGTGATTTTCCAAAAGGAGTTTGTATTTCTGACTCATAACTTTGCTCTCTATGCTTTCTCAGTCATCATCCTTGGTAATTTTGTGAGATTTTAGACACCTTGGATTTACATTTCCTAAATCTTTTCAGAACTACTTCAGGTCTTCAAATGGTCACATCTTGGCCTGGAAGAAAGACATAGATGTAGAAACAGACACAGGTACAAATACGGACAGATACAGATATATAGACGTGTAAATATCTATTTACACATCTATTTTTATTTATATAATCTCTATTTCTTTTTTCCTCTTTTAGCCCCATCCCTACCCCCTTAACCTATCTCCCCATCCCTTACTCTCCTTTTATTCTCAAACTTTGTAAAGTTTACACAGGCTGTTTTTGGGTTTTTTTCACCACTCCTCAATCTCACAACCTGGCTCTTATCCACATATCTGTCATGGAAATGGAAACTTATGAGTTCCTAATCACAAATCCAATGACCTTAGTTGTATGGAAGGGAGGCATGAAACATTTGATGATTTTGGCCACAGACACTGATATGGAGAATGAGGAATTCGGGGCAAACAAACTTAAGGTACGTGGGGTGGAGGAATGGAAACTCAAAGTCAGGCCTTAATGTGAAAAGGTGAATCCAAGGCAAATCCTACAGTAATAAAAGAAGCAAGAAACAAATGAAGATAAAGTCTAAGTTGAATATTGCTTTAGCTAGTTATTGCTGCATAATATCCAAAAATTTAGTGGCTCAGAAGAACAATTTTATTACTTATGATTCTGTGGGTTAGAAATTCCAGCAGGGATCAGTTGAGGTGGCTCTTCTCCACTCCACATGGTGCTGTCTGAGACCCTCAACTAGGGCTGGAGGGTCCAAGATGGTCTTGCTCATCCATCTGGGGCTTTGGTGCTGGCTGTCAACCTGGATCCGTTGTTTCCACTCTGCATGGTCTCTCTCTTTACAAAGTCCCTTATTCTCCATAGAGAGATATCAGGACTGGATGCAGACTGGAGTTTAAGTCTAATGGGTAATTAGATGAGGTTTTAGCAGGTAGAGAGAGGGAAAGGAGGTTGGGTATATTTTGCCCATGGGAGAGACATGAATTGTTGTGGCCAGAGGACACATTGTAGAAAATTGTCTGTAAAGACGGCCACCAACGTGCATGTTGCCTCTCCCATCAAGAGGTAGAACTTATCTTTCTTCTCTTTGAATCTGGACTCACTTGTGACTTTTTCTGGCCAAGAAAATGTAGCAGCAATACTCAGTGCCAGTTTGGGTCTATCATTTTAGAGACCTGGCAGCTTCCATTTTCATTGTGTTAGGATCCGGCCAGCATGGAAGAGCTGTGCTATTAAATGATAATGGATTTCCAGGAGACAGAAAGAGATCCAGCCAGCCCTCAGCCATTCCAGTCACACTTAGCCTAGGTGCCATGTGAGTGAAGCAGTGCCATGTGAGTGAAGCTGAGCTCTCAGCTGAATGCAACAGCTTGTGTGACACCAGCTGGTACCACATGGAAGGGAGATAAGATATACCCAGTGAACCCCACCTAATTCCTAACACATAGAATTATGAACAATAAAATTGTTTTAAGCCACTATTTTTGGATACTTTGTGACAAAGAATCAAGCTTAGATCAGTCTCTTCTTAGACTCCAGTGTCCTTCCTCACAGAATGCAATTTTAACAAGAGTCCTGC